CATGTGCGGTTACAAAGGATTGGTCTGCATATCAAAGTTATAGTCAGAAGCCAGTTATAGTCCGAGGTAGGGTTTCAAGAATTTTACTGCGTTGCAAGCACGCCGATTGTAAGAACCGATTTAAATTTAAAAGTTCCGCGACAATCGGGTACATATACCGGATCGACAATAAACAATAACTCGACTTTAATCGCGTAAGCGGTGTCTACGCCAGTAAAGTAAGTAAGCAAACCGGATCGACCCGGTTTTTTTTCCGATAAACTCCTTTGGGGAATGTTTTTTTTTTAGCTACAACAACAACAAAGAATGCCGTCGAGTCCAACGAAAAAAAAATCGAAAAGTTTCCGTACGTAGAACACAAAAATTTTTGGATTTTGGACGGTTAATCTTCATTCAAGTAGCTGAAAAATGGTGACATGAAGGACCTTACGCAATTTGAACTGCCATGATTCTGCCTTGACATGTTTGAGTTTGCTTCAAATAACTTATTATCCGATGACAATTTTCTTTGGATCAAGAATGGACCGAATATATTGGGCAAAGAACCAGACAACTTTAAAACAAGTCAGCTTCTTAAGGTAGGTAGGTAGTTCCCGGGGTTTAACATATTGTCAGCCACTACGCCTTATTGTGTGCTTATGCTAGAAGACGTCGGATAGTCGCAGTGTCGGATGCTCTTTGTGTCTCTTTGAATACCACGAAAGAAATCGAGCCCTTGGCTTGCGATGGGTAGGGCTTAGACCCCTTTCACGTCTTTCACAAAAAGGCTGAATACCAAAGTATTAAGAGGATCACACCGAGTGGATTTTAAAGTAATAAATACCGTTAGTATGGCCAATAGGCCTGAGTTACAAAACTCTTAAGCAGAAATGTTGCCTTATCCGAGTGGTTTTTTTAGCTACTGTAGAGCACAGACGCAGTCGTGATAATAATACTCATCAGCAATAACACAAACAACGACGACAAAAGCAGCAAGAAGTGAGTGATAATAAATGAAATAAGCAACACGACGCCACTGAACTTGTGGCGCATAAAGCGATGCGCCATTTATAAGCGTGTACAAACATATATCGTGAATGCGAGGGGATTAACAAAAGTTCGCTCAGTTGGTGTTTATATTAAATATGTTTTTGTTAAATCTAAAAATACAAAATCCTTTGCAATTTCTTTATTAGTTTAGCTTTCAAATTTTAAAACGATCAGCTAAAGTGGAGACGATTCCACCACCAACGCAAACAGAAACTCGGTATGTGATTCCCATTCCCTTCGGGTTTCGTTGTAGCTTACAGCCAATATAAATGTGAATGCCAAATTGCATACGAAACGATTGCGGTGTCTTTAGAGACTATTCGTAAGTGGTTCCGAAGATTACAGACCGGACATTTTTCCGTGGAGGATCAGCGCCGAGAAGGTCGACCAAAATTGACGAAGAATGAATTGGGTTTGAATGCCATGGCTGTATCGCGAATATTAAGTAATCCACTGGGATACACGAAGAAACCTGCTCGATGTGTAAGGAAGATAAAAAACGACAAAGATTACGTATAAATACAAAAAGAATTTTTATTTCTTTTTTTCGGCTCAACTTACCGAACTTTTGTTAATCCCCTCGTACATACATGACAAACGTGGGTCGGACCAAAGAAAAGTCAAGCACTCAAGATACACGCACGCCCATAAGACGTCTTGAATAATGCTGTTGCATTGTGCAGGAGAGCAAGAGCAAAGAGAGAATGGGAATCTACTCTTGCATGCACTTTTGCACATAAAGACTTATATAAAGAAAAACCATATATATATATCCATACACAACAAAACATTTCGTAAAAGCCAAACAAAGAGCACAAAGAAAAAATGCTAAACATTCTGCTGCAGTACCGTAAATTGAGACATATCGCAAAGTCGGGTAAAGAGAGTGGATTGCAAAAGTTAACAGTAAAAAGAAACGAATCAAGAAGCAAGAAGAAAGAACGCAATCAAGAAGGAGGGAAAAGTTTGCAATGAAAAAACCAGCGCAACCCAACGTCGCAAAACCTCCCACAAGAGAAAGAGAGAGAAAAGTTTTCATAGAGAGCGAGAGAGAGCAGACTTGAGCAAACCAATAAATTTTACATACCTAAAAAATGCTATGAACAGAATAAAAAAATAGATTTATATATATATGTACATATGTATGCATGTAAACTCATATGAGCAGCAACAACAGCGTCTTGTGCAATTAATGCGTTCGCTCTTCCTTTGTTGGCAATGTCATTAGAATTGTGTGCGAGAATGTGCAATATTGGCAATACACACACACACACATACATACATACACATGTATTCGTTGCTGACTTTACTTAAATTGTCTCTTCTTATTTGTTGTTTAGGTCACTGGCCTTCCCTAGCGAAAAGTCAACGAAATTTACTTCGTTGCTGTAATACAAAAACAAGATTTGCCAAAGACGAAAGTGAGAGCTGAAGACATTTAAATTGCAATATGTACAAATAGGGTTCAAGAGAATACGAAAATGAAAACAAAAACGCCTGGAAAAACAACAACAATACAATTAAAGGATAATCCATCATCGCTAAGAGCCATTAACCCTGCAAGAAACCAACTTAACCATAATCTGTATTAATATTCAAGTCGTCAAATCGATGCTGTTTTCAACTATTCGAAAATATACGGCTCAGTCAGAGAATCTATAATAATAATTTTCATTGTTATTAAATAATTGTTATAGATTCCGTGGTTCAATCATCATTTAATTAACATTTGGGTGTGTGTCTTTACTAAAAGAATATAACATTCGCCTAGATGTAGGCAACATTTGAAGTAATTTACACTGCTTGGGAATGAAACCTTTGATTGAGTCAATAAGTTTTGAGCCGTTCGCCCGTGTTTCAACCAGCTAATTTCCAAGCAACTTTATCCAGAATAAAAACTTTGATAATTCCATTGTTGGAATGAGCAGGACCATCGTCCTTCTCCAATAGTCCATTATTTATATATATAATTTGTAGAGTTCCGTTTTATATATTATTTAAATATCTTTTCAAAGGATTTGTTACCATTTACACTCAAATAATATATTTATATTGATGCGTCTATGTTACCAGGGAAGTGATATGAAAGCCCGCTGTTATTGTAGCGGCTTTGGCAAGGTTAGGGGACAGGGCTAAATTAGTTTATATCGTTAAGGTCATCTAAAGAGAAGTCCAAGCAACGAGCTGTTTCGACGGGCTCTGACCAGAAGTAGAGGGTGTCAGATAAGTCGGTTTTAGTGGGCAAGTAAAGAGGTGGTTAATGTCGTTTAGGGACACATTGCCTGCCGGGCAGGGTAGGGTTGAGTCTACTACTGTGACCAGACCTACATTGTGCGAGTATTAATTAGGTCTCGGGAGGCAACTCGGACTTTTTGCCTGCTATGGGTGGTGATTGAATTCCGACGGACTCTTTGTGAATATCAGTAAGGGTAATAGAGTATCTTCGGTATTATCCTTGGAAACCATAACTTTAAGCTCATTCAACTGGGAGCACAGAAGTCCCAGTGGTGCATAAAAGACATCAGTAATTTTCGCGTTTTGGAGCATAGGGCCGTATTTTTTGTAGCTTCTTTATCTGTGTCTCATTAGTCTGCAATGTCCGAATCGGATGAATAATGACCGACTTATTCTTTGCCTTGTAAGTTTCTTTATTCTCTTCCCAGATTCCTTGCAGTCAGTAAAGAAATGAGAAAGGCGGGGGGAGGGCAGTTTACTTCCGAATAAAAATGGGAGAAATTCCTGGGAAAGAAGACTGATATGTCGAACCTCTTGTTGGATTTTTAGGAATTTTGAATTTTGACCTCGAGACTCTAGCGATGACTGTCGACCACTGTAGGACTTCTTCAACCCCAGCGGTAATGCGAGTCATTCAATGTCCGCTAATAGCACTGCGTGATTGACCTTGTTAAAAGGCTTTTCACAGAGCACGTGGTACCAACACAGTTTACGCGAAGGGTGGATTTTGGTTCACGTCATAGACTATCTGGACGTTTATGGTGTTAAGTGCAGTTGGAGTTCTGTACACTTTGCCGAAGACATGCTGATGTGCTGCTTAGTTTAGGTGGTGTGTAAAAGAAGGGAGCAGCAAGACCTCATACTGTCTTCGTTACTGGAGAAAATAGACTTTCCTTCTTTCACAGATTTCCTCAATTTCAGTAGCGGGACTACTCTATCCTGTTTCCACTTATCGGGTTGTGTTACGAGTAGTCGATGACTATTTGAGGAATTTTGCTCCCTATGAAACCAGATGTTTTAACATAAACTTACTCATTACATCGAGGTCTTGGAAGCTTTTGACTTCCCGACAATCACCTGACCCTTTTATCTGGATGGTGTGTGCTCAGTTTGGTGGTTACTTGCCGTTACAATTTGTCAACTGAAGAATACAGTGTGAAAATCCGGCTGAACATATTTTTCGGGTCTAACGAGGAGCGCTCAACGAATAAAGCTTTCACTCGATCATCGTGTTTCCTCGAATTTGAATACGATTTGACGGTGACTTAAAGTTAGTTTACGCCATAGAAGAGTTTCAGGGAACTTAAATATTCCTCTCACTCTAAATTTAGTTGGCAGATTAGTTGTTTTTCGATATCGGCTTGATGTATGCAGTGCTATAGAGCGCATGAAGTCCAATTATTTTCAAAGAAAGTCACTTTAAAAGCTATCAGGTGGCTTCTTCGTTCCATTGTTTACACACGATTAATCAATTAAAAAAGCAGCTGATTAATTGAAATCTCAAAAAAAGATTAAATCATAGAATAATTTATGGATTGATTGCAATCATTATCAATTAAAATCTAATTTTATTAGTACTAAACGGATAAATAGAAGACTTGAGACCTTTTCATAATTTTTTTTTCTTCTTTTTTTTGTGAATATAACAGATTCTGTTATAGAACTATTTTTTTCTAAATTAATCAATAGATTCCTAAAAACAAGTATTTTTTCGAGAGAAAAAAAACATTTCGTAATTTTTTAAAAATAATTCAAAACAGTTTTTTTTTATTTCTTTAGGAAACTAACAATTTTAGCATACAGTAATATGTTAAACCAGAAAAAAAAACTTAAATAAATGCCTTGGAACGCCAATCCGAAAATTCCGTTGTTGTCACTGTCTCATCATCACTTTCACTGTCGCCATCAGAGCTTTGCGCTTCAATCTTGTGCTCTTTATTCTCATGCAGTACGCCCTTGCGCGCCTCCAAGTGTATATATCTCGACCAGTGGATCATTTGATCATTGATCTCTTCGAGATCACGATCATAAGCAGATTCGATTTGCTCACCGGCTATTATGGCCACCGACACCGAGGAAGCTTCACGTATTTCACGCTGAAAACGTTCCCATTCATCCGCCTGCGGATCCTTATACTCGGTATTACGTATTTTTGCATCCTTCACCGGATCATCAAAGAATTTCTCGGGTAAGAGTGTGTCAATATTGTTGGTGGTGGCGCTTGTTTTTTCACTCACATTTGTAGCAGCAGCGGCAGCTGAAAGTGGACCTGTTGGCGCTGACGACTGTAATGGTGTTGTGGTTGTTGTTGTTGACGTTTTTGATAACATTTGCTGCGTGTTTGTTGTTGTTGTCCTTGTTGTGTGAGTTCCCGTTGGCTTTTCCGTCGCTTTTGGCGTTGTTTTTGTGGCGTTGGTAGATACTTTTGCGCCAGCTTCAGCGGTGCCACCACCTTGGAAATTCGATTTTATCTGTTTTACCAACATTATGCGCTCCTTATGCAATTTGGAGTTCACATGCACTTTCCACAGTGCAGCCGATTTCACGGCAACTTTGCAGATTATACATTCTATTTGCCCATTCGCATTTGTTTTTGCCAATTTCGAGTCTACTTTATGCTCCGTTTCGGCTGATTTTGATTTGTTTGTGGATAATTTCAAACGTGTCTCCTGATGCCGACCCATTTCTGAAAAAACTTTTACGCACTCAAAGTTAGTATTTTTTGAAAAGAGATGATGGTGTGAGGGGAGAAAAGAGATGATGGTGTGAGGGGGAAAAAGAGATTTTTTGCTTATTTTTATTTTATTTTTTTCATTTTTTTAATTTTTATTTTTTTATTTTTTTTATTTTTTTTTATTTTTTTTTATTTTTTTTTATTTTTTTTTATTTTTTTTTATTTTTTTATAATTTTTTTTTATTTTTTTTTTATTATTTTTTTTATATTTTTTTTATTATTTTTTTATTATTTTTTTTATTATTATTTTTATTTTTTTATTATTATTTTTTTTTATTATTTTTTTTTTATTTTTTTTTTATTTATTATTTTTTTATTTATTATTTTTTTATTTATTATTTTTTTATTTATTATTATTTTTATTCATTATTTTTTTTATTTATTATTATTTTTATTCATTATTTTTTTATTTATTATTATTTTTATTCATTATTTTTTTATTCATTATTTTTTTTATTTATTATTATTTTTATTAATTATTTTTTTTATTTATTATTATTTTTATTCATTATTTTTTTATTTATTATTTTTTTATTTATTATTTTTTTTATTTATTATTTTTTTTTATTTTATATTTTTATTTTTTTATTTTTATTTTTATTTTTTTTATTTTTATTTTTTTTATTTTTATTTTTAATTTTTTTTTTATTTTTTTATTTATTATTATTTTTTTTATTTTTTATTTTTATCTTTTTTTATTTTTTATTTTTATCTTTTTTATTTTTTATTTTTTTTTAATTTTTTATTTTATTTTATTTGTTTTTATATTTCTTTTTTAATTTTTTTTTTTAATTTTATTTACCTTTATTTGTTTTTATTTTAAAACTAAGAACATTTCTTCTTTTAAACATTTCAGGTGTATTTTTCTCAAACAACAACAACAAGAATTTCCACAATTTCTGCGCCCTTAGAAAAGGCATGCGAGCGGCGTTTTTGTACATACATACATATGCATATAAATATATGTGTGTATGTAAGTATCTGCGCAGCACCACCAAACACTTGCTTATGAAGCGATTATGGTTCGCACTTTGATAACAATAGACGGCATACGACGCACCAGAGAATTTCAATGTCGCATCAAATCTACAATAATTATTACGCAGTCAATGTTAAAAAAATTTCAATTGAAAAAATAAAAGTAAAAAACATAAAACGCACTGCAATCATTGAACGCAACACGGTGTGACGCAACATTTTTTATTTTTTCTGTTCGCACGTACAGTGGGGCTGTGGCGAGCAAACGCGGCGAGCGAACACTTCAAATGAAATTGTTTATCAACAGAATAGCGAATAGCAACACGTAGTGTAGTAAATACATATGTATGTATGTACGTTTGAAAAAGCCATACGTTTGTAGAAAAAATATATTAAAATATAAATAATTGCATGTACACTTGCGAGCAATGAAATAGCATAACGTGCATGCAAGGAGAGTTTTGCTTTATATTTTGTATCCTCTATAATATTGCCGTCGACTATTCTTAGTGTTATAATCCTTGAAGTGTAACAACAGTGTTATATACAAATTTCAACTGTCCAAAAGTTGTCAAGTTGATGTAGAAAAGTAAATTTCACGTCATAATTTTGAATTGTACGACACGGAACGAACTGAACCTGAACAGCGATTTTCATACGATGAAGACTTCTGCATACGAGGGGATCAACAAAAGTTCGCTCAGTTGGGGACTTTCAATTTGTTTTTGTTAAATCTAAAAATATCAAATCCTTTGCAATTTTTTTATTAGTCTTGCTTTCAAATTTTAAAACGATAGCTAAAATGGAGACGAGAAACCGCAGGATAGCTGAGGATAGGTCAGACGAAATTCCACCCCCCCTTGCAAACGGAAATTCGTCATGTGATTCCCGTCGGGTTTCGTTGTAGCTTACAGCCAATACAAATATTCAGTGAATGCCAAATTGCATATGAAACGATTGCAGCGTCTTTAGAGACTACTCGTAAGTGGTTCCGAAGATTATAGACGGGGCATTTTTCCGTAGAGGATTACCGCCGAGAAGGTCGACCAAAATCTTCCACTGATGAGGTCCAAAATTGACGAGGACTCACGATTGACACAAGAAATGCTAATGAACTGGGTTTGAATGCCATGGCTGTATCGCGAATATTAAGTAATCTTCTGGGATACACGAAGAAATCTGTTCGGTGGGTACCACGAATTTTAAATGCGGCCCAAAGAGAGCCTCGAGTGCATTTTGCTCAATTTTTCCTAAACAAATTAGAAAATGGTTCGTCTAGCAACTTTAGTGAACGTGTTACTGGTGACGAATCTTGGTGCTATAAGTAGGATCTAGAAACCAAACAAAACACAGCAGTCCAGGCTTAGGAAATGCATTGAAATCAATGGCGAGAAAAGAAAAAAAGACAAAGATTACGAATAAATACAAAAGAAATTTTTATTTTATTTTATTTTTTTTTTTGTTCAACTTACCGAATTTATTTTAATCCCCTCCGATAATATATAAGACTGCCTCCTAATACATAGTACGACCCCAGCTTCACCGTAAAAACTTTAAAACATGGCGGTTCTAGTATTATATTTTCGGACTATTTTTCATGCAGAGGTGTGGGCTCAATTCAGAAAATATTGTTACCATTTGCTGATGATGACACACCATTGAAATGGATGTTGCAACAGGATAATGACGCGAAGAACGCCAATAGAATGGGAATCCTCAATCTCTTCTACTGGAACACTGAGCTCTTCTTGTCCTCACTCAATTAAAGAGAAGATAAGAAGGAATACTGGGTATACTGGTGACGGCATGAGACAATTAAGAAAACTTATAAACGGCTACAATACCAAAAGATTTAAAAAATAATAATAATATTAAATGTACTTAAAAGTAATCCATTATCTTTACATAAAATTGAAGGCTTTAGTTTTTACTTTTGGTATCCAGCTTTATTCCTATGTGTCCAAGCGGTTTTCTGTGCAATCCTTAGCTCTTGGACAATCGAAACAGTGCTCGCATGACGGCCGGACTTGACAATGTCCATGATTTTATCGATATTTTGGACAATTGGCCTACCACTCTGTGAAGCATCTTTTATATTAAAATAACCGGAATGACGCTGCGTTATCGACTGTAACACTATCAGGACCATAATTGACTTCTTCACACTTTCAGCTGCTTGACTTGCCCTCACACCCTCAGCGAAGAAATAGTGTAAAATATAGCGAATTTTCTGTCTCTATCTTTGACGCACGCTCAACCAAAACTGAATCAACGAAACACAAAATTGTCAGAAAACTGTCATCTTTCTTACGCCACCTTGCGGAACCCAATTAGAAGTATACTCGTACAACGCAATGTACAGATAAATAACGTCTTCTATTGGAAAAATAATGGAATTCTTTTTTACTACACCAATATTACTTAATAAGAATACAGGATATTGCAGGCTACGTAAGCAAATGTACAGACTCGGAATTTGACCCGATGAAACTTGTGGCTTCTGAGAGCTATTAGCAGAAACACCGGGGCGAAGGTGGAAGCAGGAGTCATTCAGCCGGAGCATAATCACACCAAATCAAGCAGCCCTTCTAGCCTACTGGGTTTTATAAGGACACCAGTGGTTGGGAAAATGTGAAGAAATCGACGGACACAATAGACCATTGGTCGCGGTGCGTATCCTCCTTACAAATCTATCTATCTATCTAATACCCACTACTATTTTACTGCTCGCAGCTGTATATATGCATTTAGAAATATTATTTATATATACGATACATACATACAAACATATGTATGTGGCGTTAGTTTTTTATTTAATTTCAACTAATTTGTGCAATTTTCCATAAATAACAAACATATACAATTAAATATAGTCAGTGAAAAGTAAAAATAAAAATCGCTCATACATTTGTTAGTCATACAAATTTGCATGATAATATTTACATATACGAGTATGCATGTAGGAATGGAAATAACACGCAATACATAACCTAGTTGGAATTTTTACAGTAACTAGTTCATGTTGCATTCCCCAGGTTAGCAACTGGTATTTTTTTTAATATAGCAATATCCCTCTCAACTGTTCAACTATGCATCAGCTTTATACTAGTTATATACTAGTTCATTTATGCATGAAAAATTCCAATTTACGTATATAAAATACAAAATTTTACGATCCCGGATGCTTTTTCGCCAGATTTTCACCCAAAACTTCATATCTGAACATAACGGTTGTATGGGGGTTATATGATATAGTTCTCCGATTTCAATGATTTCCGGTGACAATGCTTATTTGTATATACTTACGCGAGAAGTATACAAAATTGCGTGCTTTAGAGGTTTTTTAGATGAATTTATGACCAAACAGTCGAACGAACAGACAGGCATAGCTATATCAACTCAGCTCGTCGTTTTAATCTGATCGGTATGAATATCTGTATCTCTAGTAGTATTTAGTAGTTGTAGCGAGCAACTAACACCGCTTAGAAGCAAAAGAGACTAGTCTAAGTTATGGAGGTCATCTAACGACAAATCCAGGGAACGATTTGTGTCGACGGGCTCGGACAGGAGGAAAGGGGAGGATAAATGAGTAGGTTTTAAGGGACATATAAAGAGAGGAAGAGTTGATTTTACCGAGATTTAAAGCGTAAACCACACAGGCAACGATGAATTGTATTTCAAATAAGAAACTGGTCTAATTTCATCTTTTATATACAAGTATTTAAGTAGAGTTTTTACAAATCTTTTCACCACAGGGTACATATTATTATATGTATATAACAGGTAAGTATGTAATAAAGAAACATTAGCAGACACTCGGACATAATTACTTGACAATTTTATTTGGCATATGAATATGTATTTGATTACACGGCGTATTGTTAGTGTACACGTGCCAATTGATTGAAGCACGCCTGACAGTTTCAATAAGTCAACACGTTCCACAACACCATGCGACCTCAAGCAGATATCGCTTGCTATTGGAGTGTGTCTTTCTTATTAAAATAAAAATAAAAAATAAACGCTCGGCCTTAAAATCCCGGGCCTTATGCTGTTGTCGCCAAGTTCTCTCAATAAGATGATATAATCTAATATAAAATAAGGTTCGAGACTACCTTCGAAGCTTTGCTTTGCTGTGCAAACCAATTCTACCGAATGCAGCACCCCAGCAGACACCTACCAGAGGTAGAACCATCCCCAGGCACATCAGAAAGGCAAGTACTCCCAAGACAAGAAGGACTCAAATTAGCAACACGTGCAACAACCGCTGGGCAGGACATGCCATTGAACGCCATGCACCGAGAGTCAGTCAACACCTTTAAGAACTCTCTTCCATTCGGCTTCCTCGGAGTCAAAAAAAAAACCCCACTAGAGCTCGAGCTGCCTCGAGAGTCCCGCGAAATACTGGCGCACCTTAGATCAGGATATTGTAGCAGCTTAAACTCCTACCTAACCAGACTAGACCCCAACATACCTAACATATGAGCCACATGTGAGGAGTCTCAGCACGACACATTGGACCTTACGTAAGTTATCGCGTACACAGATGGACGGACAGACAGACATGCCATACGATGAAGTTTGATACATATGTATGTACTATTTCGAGCTTTTACAAAAAGTGGAGAAGACATTGTTGTGATCTGTGAAATGGTATAAGAAGAACATATCTGCTGAGCCAAACAATCAATTAGAACAAGTATATATGTTTATTATTCGAATTCCTCGCGAATGAAATCGACTACTTGCAAGACCAAAGTAATTTTTTAGAGACTGTTATGGGAACGACAGTGCTTGGCTGACTAAAAATTTGGGTAGTTCCGGTGTAAAGACCCGAACAAGGGGCGAACTTTTGGATTTCAGTTGCCTCTTACAACAGACTTGCACAAGAGTTGAGGTTTCTTTTACTAGTTTCGCATCTGCGGTGTTCGAGGAGCACTCGCTAAGCTGATTCAAAGTCCACCTGACCATACTGGCATACCACATATTGGTATAAGAGTTCCTCTTGTTTACTTTATGCGACATACGAGTAAACGTACCTCCAAGCAAACCATAGCTTCGGTCTCAGCAATTCCAATTTATCACGGCAGCCAGAGGATTTTTTTTCTGAAATGAGTCAACGCCACAGAGCAATTGTTATGTGTGTGTAAATGTGTTCACAGCTTCTTTAATAGCAACAACAACTGCTTGAAAATCACTCCAATGGTAGGTTTGGATACCTGAACCCCAGCCGGCTTTACGTTTACGAAAATCAAGAAACATTGAAGTGAAAATTTTTCCACTAAACACTGCGAGGGTCTAGAAGGGACTCATATAGTTGAACCAAACGTAATTACAAGCTGTTAATAATTTAAATTATTAATAATAAAGCGAGTGGTGTTCAAATTCTCTCCTCCCACGTAAATGAAAAATCTTCTTTAAGATAAAATTTAAACGCTATTAGGTAAAAAGAAGTAGACTTATAAGGCAGGACCTTTATCTAGCGCTAAAAGTTAGAAGCAACACCTACTATATATACATATTATATATTAGATATGTACATACATATATGCGAAAGTTTTCGAAGACCCTGTCGAAGCAGCTATTTAGGATTTGATGTCATCAAACTTACTTTCAACATTTCAACAGAGAGGTCAGTAACAAAGAAAGCTTTTATTTTAATGACTCTTTTTTTTTAATAATATTCAATGCTACTTCTTATAAGTAAATAGAAATGAATGTAAACTGCAAAAATATTCAAATTTGTATATTGACCTTTTGCATAGCTGCAGCCAAGTTGAAAAGATGAAGTTGGCGCAGAGACGAGCAAACAGCACAACTCAACAGCTGTTGCAGCAATTTAACATCTGTGCTTTTAAATGCACCTACATACATACTTAGCAACGTCTCCCCGCACCACTTCACAACCACAGCAATGACCGGAGGCAGAAAGGAATGCAGCAACTGACTTTCGCATGCAAACTGCTATTGTCAAGGGCACAAAGCTAAGCTTCTATGTGCGTGCCAAATGCAATTTACGAGAATTTGCACGAATCCACTTGGAAACAGCTGTTCAAACAATAATAGCTACAAATTGCAAACTGAAAAATAAGAAGTAAAAAAACAAAAACCAACAAAAACAATTGCCAGCACATTTGACAAAAACCAAGCCAGTAAAGTGAGGTCGACGGCGGTCAATTAATTAATACATTTTAGCACAAATGCTGATCAATTTTAATAGGTTAATATCCGGCGGCGTTGAACATTTACAAACATTTATATTTGTAGTAAAATTAAAAAATTGTGTTGAGATAAAATATCGATTGTTGAAATAGTTTTTTCATTTGCAATTAAACAATATTAAAAAAAATATTGTTTTTTAATTCAACTAATTAATTTTTACTTACCAATAGCAATCATGATATCATGAAAAACGGTTAAAAGTTTAACCAACACCTGAATGCTTCTAATTTTAGGCAATTTTTTTCACATTCTTTACAGCAAAAACATAGAACGTTGCCTACATTTAGGATTTTCTTAAACAAACTAAATTTTTGAACTGATTAACAATGAATTTGTTCTAATTTTACTATATTTTTTTTTATAAATATTTTTTAACAAATATTTGTAAAAAGTAATTTTAATTCAAAAACAAAGACACTAAATTTTACAAAATATGTTTGAATTAAATTATGTACACTAAAGCACAATTCGCGCCGGTGACCTTTTATTAACGAAATATACAATTTTCGGAAATACTTAATTTCTCTTGTAAACCTTTTTTTTCTAACAAGCAAAAGGTCAGAGTTCACATACTTGCGCGAGGTTTAAAGAGAGATCCAGTGTATTACAATTCGTTGTAAGTATAAAATACATAATTTCATTTCATACACACAAACACATTCATAAACAAAGCCGAAACACACATACAAGGTTTATATACAAGCGCAAAAAAAAAAAAAAATATTGAAAAAACGCAGGGCAATATACTCCAAAGCTTTGACTTGTTTACATATATGAAAATCCATATGTACGCTTGCTTTGGATCTACTTATGAGTATTTCCAAAAAATACACACAACCGAACACAGGTAAACGACCCGTCAGCAGAATAATATCACACTTGTTTTAGCCAAAAATTGGTAGAGAGGCGTAAACCAAGCTAAACGTTGATGAACTGACAACCGCAAACCTCGTGGTAGGTGGCGACGTTTAGCATGTGCGGTCATCGGTAGGCATACAAACAAATAATAAATTAAATATATGAAATTTCAGGCAAATTAATGTGTATACATGCATACATGTAGCTAAAGTGAATGAAATTCATTTGCTAGCTGCCTGATAGTGAAATGTGATGAGTTTGGACGAAATAACAAATTACTTGTCAAAAAATTTAAAAGAAATATAAACGTTTGCATTCCCTTGTTTGACAAAAATTTGCGCATGACCTTAACCGTTTAGGTGACGTAAAGTAAGCGACAACGACAGAGTCAGCGGGTAATGATAAGTAGCGATCGAATACCGTCAGATTGTTATTATAACAACAAAGTACTAGTAGCATATTTAAGTTCATGCACTAATATGGAAATCAACGTTTTAGTTTGTAGGTATTGGTATTTAATGTATTAATCAACAATTTTTAATCTTCCGAAATATTTGCTGCTCAATACTTTATGCATCATAACAAAAGTCGATTTACTAGTCTTCATAAGGGAAATATCAATGTGATTTCATCATCTGAGCAACTGAAAATTTAACAGAAAATAATTGTTTACGCGAGGTGCGTAAATCCTTGCATAATTTTGGGCGCTAGCGAATTATTATTACTATTTATTATTTGAGTTTTTGTTTTCTGGCATATATGTATGAATGATTTTGTATTGCATTCTCAAATGATCAGCGAAGTGATACGGCTAAGGTGCTCATTGTTTGTAATGGTCCAGATCAGATATCTTAGTATTTGATCTGTTTTGCGTCTTCCCATCCCTACTCAATTTTGTTGAGCGGTATGCCATTGGCGTCTGTGCAGCGTCAGATACCTCTTATGGCATTGGGTTAAAGACCACTCTTTGAAACGAGTCTAGTGCTCACCTTGAATATATTCAAACATTCTCCCCCACCCGCTTAGACAATAATATTGTATTTTCTGTTTTTTTTAGCACTACTTATAAACATATACTGCGGGTTAGGGGCTCTAGAATTTACTCGCGGTAGTCGGGTCTTTATACCGGAACGACCCGGATTTTTATCCGGCCAGGTTCTGTCACTCCCGCAGCATTCCCCAAAAAGTACTTTGAAGAATAATTTTGTGGTTACAACAACAACAACAACAACAACAACTAAAATCCAATAGTTCCCGCGACAGTGGGGTCTTTGTACCAGAACGACCCGGACTTTTATCCGGCCAAGGACTGTCACTCCCGCAACATTCCCCAAAAAGTACTTTGGGAACTAATTTTGCGGCTACAACAACAACAACAACAACATATACTCGAACGTGGTGTATACATATATTTGGAAACAAAATCGAATCTAAATTTGTTGCATTAATAATGACCTTGAACTCATTCATCATTAACTGAGACGGTGTTTTTTATCAATTTCACTTAAAGAATGCTATTGGCACTAAGTTTTGAGAGCCAATGCGAGAAGAGCTATATATTTTATAAATGCATACAAGTGTATTAAAATATAATTAAAAAAAATTTAATAACAGGTCTTACGTATGGCGACAACATAATTTTTAATATTTGTAATTTTATGAGCTTTTTCTAAAATATATGACTTTTGACTTTTAAATATTCTATGAAAATAAATTTCTATGGCATTTTTGGAACTAAGACTATATAAAGATTAAGATTTCTTAAAGAAAATTGCACTTTTCCTCTTAACTCTTATCGCAGGTGGCGATATATGCAATTATCAATTAAGCTCCTCGTCAACAATACACACATTGTTTTTTCAGCTGCCTCCGAAAGGCCAGTTGATTTTTATGAGGAGCTTTGATGTTCATGTCAGAAATGCGCTCGGACAGCTTATCATTACCAAAAAATGTATATTAATATTAATATTAGTATACGTTCTTTGCCGTTACCCGCCGAGGGGCGAATATAATTAGAAATATTAATTTTCTATTATTTAAATATTACTGGAAGAATGCGTTGACACAAATCAGATAATATTTCATACAACCAATATACCAATGCCAAATGCATTATCCGAATGACACAATTGATATTATTTCAATCAAAGGAGCACTTTTTAATACTCCCCTCGAAGGTACTATTTATTTGTAGTCAGTACTTACCTCAGCTAAATGAATTTTGTTTAACAAATCTAAAAAAAAAAACAAAAGCAAAGATAAATATATATTTGATAAAGTGGAAAAAAGTTGCTAAATTTACCTTCGAAATATTTCAATATAGTAGAATTTGGTAATCCCACGGCTTCCCTGGAATAAAGAAATTCAAACATTACTTACTAAATTATAAATGTTCAGTATGAGCATCAGTTTTAAATAAGAAATAAGAAATACCTGTTAAGAAAAAAATATTAACTATGTTGCTAATTTCAAATACCGTTTTATTTCGGAACACTTAATGCATTAGAGAGCATATGGTAAACATTTTAGTTTATTGGTATTTGGGTTAGTGTTTTTTTCCAATAATGAGAGTACACTTGATAAAAGAATACTATACTATTCAAAGGAGAAGTTCTTTACAAATTATGTTTACATGACTTTATTTCAAGTAAGAACATTCTTATATTGTGGGCGTTTTGAAATTGAAAAGTGCAATTTTTATTTGCAGCAGCTTAAGTAGCATATACAACAACAAGATAAGAACTTCTATATAATAAACAACTATTTCAGCAAATCAGAAATAGAGATGGGACTTACAATACTTCGCGATGTTTCCAAACGTTGTTTTACGGTTTATACTCTGATTTTTTATATTTAAATGTTTTTTAATAAATATTTTATTTAATTATTTCTGTCACAGACAAATAGCAGCAGTTTCTAATAATTCACCACTCACCAAATACAGGGTTGCACTCAGTTATAGAAAACAATTAAAATCCGATGACTACGCTTGGTCGATAATAAACTTATTCAACTAATGTTACGTTTATAACATTCTGTAATCATTGTAGTACTTGCTAGCTTCAACAGATATCATAGATAACCTCAGGCTATGCTTATGAACTATTTAAGATTAGCGTAGATCCACCGCCATTATTTTTGAGGTTCATGCAGTTGGATTGATATGTCTCCTAAGGACCTGTCAATATTCCCATATCTCGAAACTTATCTCTTGGATAATGGCTTCATATCCAAGTAGCGGTATTCAACGACATTTATTTATGTTATTTAAATCTACTTCATTTCAAAAACAATTTCAATTGGCAGATGTTAATTAATTTTAATATCAAACAGTTTCTAACAAAAACTTAAAATTTTGCCTTCATTTTAATAATGCTAACACTAATCAAGTTAAAATTAGCGAATGTTGAAAAACGAAATAAATATGAATGAGAAAAGCCAAATTATTATATCTCAAAAATGATGAATTATTTCAAAAATTGTATTTCAGATTTATTTGATCCCTTTCTCAAAACTTGTTGTAAATGGTTTTAATAGCGAAATATTAATGACTCATAGAATTGAAAGACGCTAACCGAATATATAAATATTTCCATAAGCAGCTTGATAATTACATCAAGGTAGCGTTAAGAGCTCGTCTACAAACCTCGTGGTCATATCTGAAGTCTTTCGATGCCTTTTCCCCTCCACCATTGGACCTTGGTTCAGTTTCATTCTTATTTCCATGTTAACGACAAATTTATTTAAAAAAAATTTTTTAATTTAGTAATAATGATTAAATAAATATATAAATCTGTTGATATATCATTTATTAAAAGCTGTATATTAACTTTAACAAATATTTATTTAATGTTAAGAAACTGTATAGCTTTGCTTCTACCTCCTCTCCAACAAACCTCGTAGGTCGGCCAATGAAAAGAAGGGATTCATTTAAGTTGCCCAACTGAGGCACAATACGAGAAAAAGCTTAGGAAAAGCCATGTAAATTTCTTCGAAGAAAAATATCCTGTTAAATAAAATAATTACACTTGTCATATAAATTGAAATTTTTACAAAATTATCTATAAACACATTATTTTAATAATAAAGATTTCTTAATCAATGAATGCAGTTAGGAATTACGTTCACGTAATAACAATTATTAATTATATAAATAATCGGAAATCATTTAAGCTTAATTATTTTTTTAAGCTTCCCAAGGTGGCGGTCAATATAAAAACCCTATTTTTTTTATCAAAGTGTGGAAACCCCAGAAAAACCGGCATTTTTTGATTGCTCCATATATTTTTTGACATTTTCAGCTTGAAATAGCAGACTAATCAAAATGGTGAATAAATTCTAGAAAATTGAAATTAGTAATAAAAGGATATGTTGAAAAATTGTAAATTTAAATACTTCGATAGAAATCTGCAGTTACCAAGTATATCGATGCTAGCTAGTGACTAATCTATTACAATTTCGAGCAGCTGGTAATGTCAAATTCTTCAGCCGTTTAAAGTTGCAAATGCAAAATTTATATTTTTGTGCAATTAGGTATAAATTTGTGTATTCTTGTTACATTTATAGTAAAAAAGTTGATTGAAATTCAAAATTTTCAGAAAAAATTTAAATCAAATAAAATTATGTCTATTTCTGGAAAAAATTTAAGCCTTTCCCCTGAGGTAAGTAAAGGCGCGCTAGCTTTTGTATTTGAAGAGTCATAACGGTGCTATTATGTTTGTCCAATGTGTTCAGGCCGACTTGGATGAATTGATTCAGGACACCAGTTTATTGATAGCTTCGGTTTACGATATGTTCGGTCGACCACAACGGTCACCTCGACCAGCGCAAACCATTTTGGGACGTCGATCACACAACAACAGTGATAACAGTGGACAATTTGGTAGTAGCAGTAATACTTCTAATTCCAGTACACCAAAATCTCCAAAAACGCCTAGATTAGGTAATTCGAACAGAGCTGTACCATCAACGCCGTCAAGTAGAGAAATCGATCAAGAAATTAATCGAAGTATGCGTGACATCTTATCATTCTTTTATAAATCTGTATGCAATTAAACCTTCATTTTCAGTTGATCGCTTTTGTGAAATGTTAGAACACAATTTACGTTCTTCATCTGGCGAACAAAATCAAATGGTTCGAGGTCCCTTGGGTTTAGCGTCACCTACGAGCCCACGTAACAGAGCAGGCAGAAGATCACGTATGTTGAATAAATTTGATTTAAAATCCAACTACTTAAATTTATAATTATATATAGTTGAGAGTGCAGCGGCTAATGCGGCCCGCTCTCCAACTGTAGAAGAAGTAATTGATTTGTGTGATTCGATGTCTATGCCAGCACCACTAGCCCGACGAGCGTTGAATTTAAGCGATGATGTGATCATAGTTACACCAACTGACGATGAAATCGTCGATCTTTGTACACCAAATCATCGGCGAAATACTGCACGTACCAGAAATATTAATTCCAACCGAAGATCTATTAATTTTAATGGCAGTACAAATAACTGCCGAAGTGGTAATGAGTCACGACCACGCATGAGAGCATCATCACGTTCACTTTCTTCATCAAATTCATCGGCACATTGTTCGAATGAAGGCAGATCCTCGCGCTGTTCCATTTCGACAACAACATCCACAACAAATATAAACCCCTCCGCCACAGCTGCTACTAAAGTCGCAAGCAAAAAGAAATCGCCTGGTGCGAACTGCGATGACGCCGATGACGGAGCAAATGGTGATGGACGTGTACCTTTTATGTGTGCTGTGTGCATGGAAAGCTGCGTTAGCAACCAACCTACTTCAACCAAATGTGGACATGTATTCTGCGCCAATTGCATACGCCAAGCAGTACGATTGACTCGCAAGTGTCCCATGTGTAATACGAAACTTACCGCAAACATGCTGTTTCGCATATATGTTTGAGTGGTGACCTAACACTCGAATAATAATAAAAGACTGGTCTTTTGGTTCAGCGTATGCAACACTTGTAAACTAAATTTTATAAAATTTTATAAGAGCACCTACATTTCAAGACTCATTCAAAAAACAAGCAATTAAGTGCTTTTATTATTTAAATATTTCGTTAATAATTTTTAGAGCTTATTTCGTATGAAAACTTAATTTAAAGTAATAATTAGAACTACTTGACAGAAATAAGTTCTTTTATACCAATTAAAATTTAGTACCAAATGTAGATATATCGCTCATTTCCAATAAACTTTTATATTACTTTTTTGTTCAAACTCTGCAGCATGTGTGAGTACATATGTACTACATATTTATATATATTGCATTTTTAAAAACTATAAACGGTGTTTTAATTTATAAATGGTGGAAATGGTGCATAAGGTGGGCCATGACGTTATATTTTTGAGCTCGAAACAAGCGAATTTATATTTTATTTTATTTTTTTATATATCTTTATTTTTACTTTTTTATTTTTTTATTTTTACTTTTTTACTTTTTTATTCTTTAATTTTTACTTTTTTATTTTTTAATTTTACTTTTATATTTTTTTATTTTTACCTTTTTATTTTTTTATTTTTACTTTTTTATCTTTTTATTTTTACTTTTTTATTTTTCCTTTTTTTTTTATTTATTAATTTTTTTATTTTTTTATTTTTTCTTTTTTATTTTTTTATTTTTACTTTTTTATTTTTTTATTTTTACTTTTTTATTTTTTTATTTTCTTATTTTTTTTTATTTTTTTTGTTATTTTTAATTTTTTTATTTTTACTTTTTTATTTTTTTTATTTTTGTGAATTTGCCTTGAGTTCGAAATTTCATTACATTCGAAAATGTTGACAATTTTTTTATATGTAAACAAACATTTGTTTCCAGTATAAATTGCTTCAACTTGTACTAAATTGATTGCGAATACTCCGAAATTCTAAACCAACCGTTTAATGGGTGAAAGTATCATAGCAGAGCAGACAAACCGTGTACGGCTTGTTTTGCCAAAATTGAGTGTGCAGACTCAATTATTCGAAACAAACTTTACTCTTGTGGAAGTCGCGGCACTGAAAGCTGCATGGATTCTGATTGAGCCGAAAATCAAAATGATTTCAAAGAAGATCGCCATAGAGTATACTTCCACATAATCAGAAGTTCATATTTAGTAATTAATGACATACGCATTTCTCCAGCGCCTATGCGGACAATCCGAATTGGATTGAATTATTTCGTCAAGATGAGAAAATTGATGGCACGACTATGATTCATAATCCCTTATGGTTGTTGCATATTTACGGTGATATAATAAAGACAAATCTGCGTACAAATTATGCTGTAGCAAAGGTGGTGCGACCGGTGCTGGAAAAGCAGATGCATAAATTCCTGGCAATGCCTCATTTAGCGGTATTTATTCGCACACACACGTACACACACATACACGCACACATATGCAGGTACTAAATTCATAAGTGCATATTTATTAACAGGGCTTACTGGAATACCTCAAAGCGGGTGTAATTAACGAGCTGGATGATCACATCTCACCTACTGCGCGACTCGGCCTCGAGAAATTAAATCAAGCAATTCTATATTTTTTAAGGCTAACAGGAAAACGCGTTGGGGCACGGAATTAATTTAAATTAGGACCAATACAAAAATACATTAGTACGATTTCTAATTTTCTACTTAAAAAGTGATTTTAGTGATTTTAAAACTGCTTGATGTGTGTTTGGCATTATTTCAACGTATTTTTTCGAAGACGACGAAGGCCGGAAAATAACTTTTCTTTTTTCGAAAAGGAAGAGCTGCACACTTGGCTGACGTATGTTGGCACATACCACACTTCCTTACTGGCGTTAGCGGCTCAAGAATTTACCTGTGGTTAGGCATGCCTATCGTAGGAGGAGACGAAAAACCCGAACGATACGGATTTTTTTCCGACCAAGGAACATTCCCCAAAAACTACTTTGGGGTATTTTCTGCGGTTGCAACAATAACGAGGACGATAAGCGGCTTATCGCGTTTGGTGTTTGTTCGTCGAGAGAGGATTTTACTTTTCAATTGCCTACTCAGCTGGAAATAGCACTTGCTGGCAAGCGTGATTCTGCACTGGATATCCAGGCTGACATTGTTGTTCAAAGTTATGATTGTTAACAGTGTCGTCTGATGACAAAATATATTTCGTCTTGCCCTCGTTTACTACCAGACCCATACCTTTCGTTTCCATATCCAGTCTAGAGAAATCAAAACTCACGGCGCGGTTGTTGTGGGCAATAATGCCAATATTATCGGCGTACGCCAATGGTTGATTAACCAGGTCTGAGGCCACACTGGTAAAGTCCAATCAGTTTGTTAACGGTAGCACCTTATATGCGATGTTAAGAGGGCTTATTCCACGGTAATTGGCGTAGACGGTAGGATCGCGTTTTTTTGTGGACTTGACAGAGCACATTTAGGTTCCAATTGTCGGGCATACTTTCATTCGACCATATTTTTCAGAGAAGTTAATGCATGCACATTGTCAGCTCTTTACCATCACGTGGGAAATCCCTATTCGAACCACGTCATAGTCAGGTAATGGAACGTTTTTTCTTTCTTCATCGATTGGGAAACCGGGTTTACCATCTATGGATATTCCATTTTCAGTGCCATTCAGCAAGCTGTAGAAGTGTTCCCTCCATAAGTATACTCTGGGCATCATTTTTTAGTTCATCATTTCGCGACCTACAAGAATCTGCTCCGTTCTTGAAACCTTCTGTAAGTTGTCGTATTTTTTTTTTGTAAAATTTTCGCGCATTACCCTTGTCGGCTAGATTCTCAAGCTCTCGAAACTAATGCTGCTCAACCTCTTGCAAAGGCGTCTTGCTATCCACTTCAGGTCTCGTTATTGTAGTCGAACGAAAAATTCCGGGGTAGGCAGTCCTCATCATACTAGCCGTTATTACGACCTTACCGAAATCCAATAACATCGTTTGCAGCTGTATGTAGAGAGCTTGAAATGAAGTCTCTTATATCGAGTTACTGATAAGTGCTCTCAGAGAACAGGTGTGCAAGTCAAGCAGAAATCCATTGTTGAACTCTCCTTGTTGTTTGGTGACGGGCGTTCATTGATACACAGAGCCGCCCGCGAAGTACCTTCGCTGTAGTAAGATAGAATATATGTTGTGTTCTCGGAGTTTACGCACGTCAAGAACACTGGAGACGTGCCTACCGCCTATCCTAACATGATCCATATGGTTTTGTGTTTTTCGTTCAGGGGATTGTGGCGAGACGTCCATCAAAAGGTGAATGACAGTACTCGACGACGAAATCTCTCACCCCCACCAAAAATCCGAAACTAAACTTGCGCTCCTTTATATGACCGCTGTAGTAGATGTCACAAGTAGATGTCGCCTCAGTCCTTGTCCCGTCCATCGCACTTCTTAGACGGCGGTGATGTCAGCTTTTATTCTTACGAAAACACCAACAACCAGCTGGAGAGCGGCATCTTTCCAGCTAAGAGACCGGGCATTGCAATTGCTGCGGGAGTCGCTTGCTTCAAGACCGACGCCCTCTCGCAGCGACACTTCCGCTGAACAGACGACGCATTTAAGCCTCAGCGATTGCTTCAATCGAGTAAGTCGGAGTGGCTCCGCTGGAACTTCCTCTCCTTTATCCTTGACTCAAGACTCCACATGGGTAGGTTACATCTTTCACAAGGTTTGCTCACCTTTTCAGGGTGCTCGTCGCGGTTGTAGGATTTGAGTGCAGCCTCACAACTGCAATTGCATATCCAGAAGCTTGGCTACACCCCATAACACACACTGGCAGGCAATATCAAAGAATTTATTCAGGAGATATCGGCCTATAGGTTGGCGAAGGTATTGCAACGCACTCAGGGTCAACAATTACATAAAATAATCCATAAACATTAAATTCTATCGATCCGTCCATCGACTCAGTCAAAGATTTTATAAATTTTTTCTGAATTTCAACGGCTTTTTTCAACTTGAGCACGCAGTGAACTTCCATTCCAATTGTTTCAAAATTTTTGTTTGTGTGTAAAAAATTAACAGTCTTTAAAGTGGAAATAAAAAAATACATTACTAAGAAATCGAAAAATGTGATTACATATTTTGGGGGAAAAATAATATTTTTGATATTTTTTTTTTATGAAATATTTATTTTCTTTTTGCGTTAAATAAATAATATTAATAGCCATATTAGTTACAGTTAAGGTGTGTGAAATATTCAAAAACGACAAGGAAATCCAAAAATCGTCCTTAATTCGAAAATCGACTAAGAACAAGAACAAGAACAGTACTACAGCACATAAACATGTCCTACCTGTCCACGCACTTTCCATCCCTCATACTTAAAAGCTCCTTAAGTTTGCGAAAATCATCGAATTTCGATGCATTAAATTCAGGTTTTACCAACTTGGAATTAATTGCACTACAAAAAGCCTGGAGCACCATAGAGCCAAGATTGCGTCAGCTCTCCACTGAGATATTAACGGAGTACGTCAAGCGATAAGTATTTAAAAAAAATTAAAAAATATGTAACTCTGTGGGCAAAAACTAAGGTGAATTTGTTTGTAAAATTAAAAATCTTTGTTTATTCTTCTACATCGATTTCGTCGCCTTCAAAATAGTCCCCTGTCGATGCAATGCACTTATGTCAACGCTTTTTCGGAGCATGTCAAGTCAAATAGTTCCATTCTGGTATGGCCTCCAGAGAGCGCGCCGATTCACATTTCATCTGCTCAATCGACTCAAAACGGTGTCCTCGAAGTGGTCTCTTAAATTTTTGGCACAGCCAGAAGTCACATGGAGCTAAGTCCGGCGAATAGGGTAGTTGGAGAACGATATTCGTGGAATTTTTAGCGAAATGGACACGAAGAACGAGTGCTGTGTGCGACGGTGCATTATCGTGATGTAAAATCCCAGAATTGTTGGCCCATAATTCTGGTCTTTTTTTTGCGAGTTGCTTCACGCACACGACGCATAACGCTGCAATAACATTCCTTATTTACCGTTTGGCCGGGTGGAAGAAATTCATAGTGCACCACAACAGGAAAGTCGAAGAAAACAGTCAACTTGACCTTGATTTTTGAGCGACTTTGACGTGATTTTTTCGGTCTTGCCTCATCTTTAGTACGATATTATTTGAAGTCTTTGAACGTATACACGTTCTTTTGCGACATAGTTGAGTCCCCGAAGGCTTTCTCGCAAACAAAATTTGAGCTCACTTCTTTGCTCAGTTAAATCAGATATTACAAAAATCGCCGAGGACACCACTTTTAGTCGTTTAGTAAGCCCAAGCCTAACTAAAATACCAATGATGACATTGACATGAAATTGATCGTAGATGTCAATAACAGTGCAACCAACATAAAAAAAAAATAATTAAATCAAAATCTTAAACGCGCGAAGCTCAAATTAAAAATTCACCTTACTTTTCGCCCACAGCACTACATATATATGTACATATATAAAAATCTTTCGTTCGTTTGTTAAATAGGTATATCGAAAATTTTTTCGGGAAGTGGACCTGAGAGTGGCTTATTCGAAAAAATCGTACTTACGCCTCGATTTACTTAGAATTCAGTACATATGTATATGGCTTTTAGACTATTATTCTTACCGGGAAGAGCAGCAGGGACAAGCCTATTGGCCAAAAGTTGGGAAACCGATTTTTACAGGCTTCTCCTGAGGCCAGATGGTAATCACTTGGTGCGAGTTTCGCATAAAAACCACCCAATCGAGCTCTCGTTGCTTCTGGCGAGTCACTATCGATGTATGTGGTGATGTATGAGCTTCTTTGTGCATTCAGCTGTTTCAAGGAGTTCCAAGTTGAGTTGCGTGCAGTGCTGAGCTCTTGGGAAGTCGAAGCAGTGCTCGAATCACAGTCAGACTCGACGATTTCCATTATTTCATCGACAAAAACACTATTCACATTCTTAGCTGCTTTACTAGCGTTTGCTCTGGAAGAAAAATTGTAGAATATACCATCTGTGACATGTTCTCAAGCACTACTGAGTTGATAGATCAACATTTCTCCCATTATCTCTTTGAGTACAACTTGACCTAATACATATCCATGGTTCGTTTTCGTTAAATTTTTGGATTAATTGTCCAAATGGAGTCCTTTGGACGTTGAAACGGGCAGCTGATCTCCGTCAACAAACTGATTGGATGTTATCAGTGTGGCTTTAGAACTGGTTAATCGAGCATTGACCAGATATTCACCCTGCGCCGAATCTTGCAAGAGACCCATGTTAAGAGAATCATCACGCACCTCCTTTCGTCGATTTTAAATCCACCTTCGACAGCACGGAACGAGCTCTTTCTACGTTACTATATCTGAATTAGGTATCTCCCAAAACTTATACGGCTATATAAACTGACGTTTGGCGATACATGAGGTTTCATACAAGGTGATTACTTATCGTGTGACCTCTTCGATTTATTGCTGGAGAATATAATCTAAGCTGTAGAGCAGAATGGAGAAGGTACAATCTTCCAAAAGAGTGTAGAGCTGCTGGCGTACGCCGATGATATTGACATTGATAACAACCGCGTCGTGAGATCTGCGTTATCTAGACTCGATAAGGTATTTAGTTCAGCGAATCAAGAAGCAGCAGCTACGCTGCCTAGGTCATGTGGTCTGAATGGATGAAAGCACTCCAGCTTTGAAAGTATTCAACGCAGTATCCACTCCGTTGGATGGATCGGGTGGAAAGCGACCTGGCTTCACTTGATATTTCCAATTGGCGCCAAACAGCGAAAATAAGAGATGAATGGCGCGCCATAATTGATTCGGCTATAATCGCATAAGCGGTTCCAACGCCAATTAAGAAGAAGAGTTTCTATTGCGGTTACAAGTTCAACTTTAGTGTGCGCTTGGCTTACTTCGAGGTATTTCAATTGACTTTTGAATCAGCGAAGAAGGGACCCGCACATACGATAACCCTTCTCGGTGAGCTGATTTACAGTAAAATTTGAATCGAGAGAGCAGTATTTTTGGCCGTTCGTTACTGGCTAATTTTTAAAGACATTTCTCACCGAATAGATCCAATAAGTGATAGTTAAACAGACAAAAAAGAACTTAATATTTTGACTTAGGTGAATGGGGGTTAATGGTTCTTCTAGTATTTAATAAGATTTCCCTAATTTCTATTTTAACTAATTTTTATTTCAGCTTATTTTCAGAGCATTATGAGATTATGGATAAAATTCGCGAAGACGATGGCAAATTATGTAACTTCGAAGTAATAAATCACATATATTGGCTACTACTACTCTATGGCACCATCATCAAGCATAATTTGACACCAATGAAGACACGAAAAGTAGTGGAACCGTTAACAGTGCAGATGGGAAAATATGCCATGGATTTGAATTCCATAAATGTTTGTACTTTACACAATAGCAAATTTATATTTATAGCTCGTTAATACAATATATATGTACGTATGTATATTCCAGATTCAATTGGATTGCATTAAAAAACATTTACTCGCCAAACTGGCCTTTGCATTATCACCAACAACAGTTGCGGCTTTCGATAGACTTAATAAAAATATTATAAAACATATATTTTTTAAAATTAAATACTACGCAAAGTAGCTTAGGACTACGGACAAATAGAGAAATGCTCAAGTTGGATAAATATATGTATGTAACTTGTGCTATGAAGTAACCGATTTGTCTGCCAAAAAATGGAGCAGGATCGAAATACTTTGGATACTGAAAAAGTCAAGCAAGATTTGGAGCTCAATATTTGGAATATGGTACATATGTAGATACCTTATATATGTATGTAAATATATGTTAGGAACAATACGAGTATATGAAATAAATACAACAGTAGAAAATTAACCTCCGATTTATATTGATTTTTTGTTAGGAAAGTCCTTTTTTTTTTAAAATATTAAAAAGAAATGATTGTCCTTCAGTGTGTTGCGCCTTGCTTCCGGTATTTATTAACAATATTTAAATCAAATATGTTCGGTTGTCTTACAGAACGCTTACAGGTCGCTGTTTCCACCTTTTTCCAAAGGGTGCGCCATCTATATGTGTTCAATGGAAATGTTGAACAACTTCAACAATTTTCAATGAATTTTGATAATTTTCCATGACATTTGCCAGCATCTGGGGAGATATCAGAGCGATTTTAACTCGAATGTTGTTCTTCAGCTCGTCCATGTTGGCATACACTTTGCTTTCCAAAAACCCCACAAAAGATAAAGTCTAGTGCAGTCAATTCGGGCGATCTTGATGGCCAGTCGATATACCCTCCTTTCGATACCACACATCCAGGGAACTTTTGACGCAAGAGTGTCAAAGTTATTCAATGTTTCCACTGACCACATATAGATGGCGAACCCTTTATATACAGGGTATTTGTTTTAGGCAAGTGGATTTCAAAAAGAAATAAAACGCATATAATTCAATGTGCTGGACAAAAATGTGCCAGTATGCTTTAAAAATGATTTAGGGCAACTGACCGCCGCGTCTGGTTGAAAAAAGTTCCATCAGAGATCCACTTTTCGACCACTTTTTGCAGCAATCGGGTCCGTGTGTCAGCAATGACGCGCCGAGTATTCTCTTCCAAGACGTTAATTAATCGGGCTTATTTACGTATACGAGTTACCTAACAAATATAATCTAGCGGTGTTAAGTGGAACCATCTTTGAGGTACCCGCACAAGCCCACGACGCGAAATAATATGCTCACCAAAAGTTTCCTTCAACAAATTGATTATTTCCTGGGCTGTATGGCGCCATCTTGTTGGAAGCACATCAACATGCCCCAATACAGGCACGAAAAAGTAATTAATTTCGGCTCTATAGTGTTCCCCATTGACTGTAATATTATGAGAGGCCTCGTTTTTGAAGAAATATAAGCCAATTATTCCATAGAGTATCTCAACAAAGGCTTGTGTATTATTATAACTCCAAATGTGTTGTTCGGAGACGACTTAGAATGAACTATAGGTCCATCTATTTGTTGGTGCTCAAGATGAGCACCACAAATTGGAGGAGGAGCTTGGTAGACAACCGCAAGAAGCGGTCATGAAGTAAAAAAGAGAAAGAGATAGAGAGAGACAGAAAGAGAGAGAGAGAGAGAGAGAGAAAGAAAGAAAGAGGAAGGCAGAAAGAGTGAGGAAGTGAGAAATAGAGAAAGAAAGAGGTAGGTAGAAAGAGCGAAATAGAAATAGAGAGAGATAGAAAGAAAAAGAGATGTAAGAAAGAAGATAGAAGAAAGAGAGAGCTGAGAAGAGAAAGATAAAGAGCGTGATAGTAAGGGTGACAGAAATAGAGAGAGAGAGAGTAAGGGTGAGAAAAATAGAGAGAGAGAGAGAGTAAGGGTGAGAGATATAGAGAGAGAGAAAGTCAAAGAGATAGAGAGAGATAGAAAGAGAGAGAGAGTAAGGGTGAGAGGAAAGAAAAAGAGAGATAGAGAGAGATAGAAAGAGAGAGATAGGAAGAAAGAGAGAGATAGAAAGAGAGAGAGAGGAAGAAAGAAAAAGAGAGAAAGTAAGGGTGAGAGGAAAGAAAGAGAGAGAAAAAGAGAGAGATAGAAATAAAGAGATAGAAAGAGAGAGATAGAAAGAGAGAGATATAGAAAGAGAGAGAGATAGAAAGAGAAAGAGATAAAAAGAGAGAGAGATAGAAAGAGATGGAAAGAGAGAGTGAGTTAGAAAGAGAGAGAGAGAGTAATTGTGAGAGGAATAGAGAGAGAGAAAGAGATAGAGAGAGAGTAAGGGTGAGAGGAATAGAGAGAGAAATATAGAGGAAGAGAGCATTTGTTAAAGATCAAAACCAAGTTCTGAAGAATCATTAAACTCTAGATCGAGTAGTGTTTGAATTTGTGCGCAGAATAGGTTATAGAAATGCATTCCCGTACAATAAAATATAATTTTATCCTTAGCAGATACAATTTGAAAATACTGTACGCCTAATAATGACATACGTATGTCTTTCTCTTCATAAAAAAAATATTTTTTATAATCTTGTCATAAAAAAATAATTAGAACGTTATTTAATATATAAATATATATTAGAAAGGTTTACAAAATGGGTAATCTCATACTAAAAAAACAAAATATCCTCCATCAATTTAATCGCGACGTTTACTCGCACTTTCAGACTCATATAGTGAGTATGTAAATGAAAGGAAAATGCCGCCTATATTTCCAAAAGCTTTAGAACCATATGACATGAAACCAGTCGAGAATGAGTTGGGTTTAACAATCACCGAACGAAGATCCCTACAAAATGGTTGGAGTATAATAAAGCAAAAGCAACGTCGTGCCGCGCTGACCATTTATGTTAAGTAAAGATTTGAATTTGTGTGATTTGTGTTTCTTGAAATTGTGCACATTTTCTTTGTATTGTGCTCTTCAGTCTCTTCACCGAACACGAGAATCTCTACGAAGTATTTCGCTCTGACGGTGTATTGAACATTGAATTCGCCAGTCAGCATCAAAAGGAGGTACTCACTGTTTTCCAAATGATTATCGAACAAGTGGATAATGCGCGTTTTGTTAAGACAATGCTGAAAGAATTAGCTTTACGGCATGAAGCTGCCTCCGTAACCAATACCCAATGGCAGGTGGGTGGTGAATATGAGGGAAAGCAATTGCTAAGTTTCATTGAAATTTCATGAAAATTTTCAGTACTTTGGATTTGGATTTAAAATTAAAATTAATTGCAATTTATCTTCATCTTTATTCCTCTTTTTTTTACAGCTCTATACAAATGAAGTGAGAAAATATTTTCTGGAGACATTGGCCGATGCCATCTCACCAACATTCGTGCATGCATTAGATAAACTGATGAACTTTGTTTGCAATTTTAACGATTTAACTGAATCCAAAGAGGAGTTGCACAGAGTCACACGAATTAAATGAAATGCAAAATATTGTTTACACTTTATTTTATATTAAAATTTTACCAAGGAGTGTGTCCTATAAATTTTCCTTCATAAAATGTGTATAAACTTAACAACATCTGGATGAATGGGTATACATGTTCATATATGTTTGTATATACATATAGGAACAGATTTATGTTTTGCATGTATGTACGAGATTTGGGAATAAATAGCACTTTTATAAGTAAACAAGATTTTTGGAGTATTCTTATTCATTGCTATGAATAATTTAAGCAACTCGCATAAAACTTATTTTATTCATATATTTAATTTAATCTCTTTTTATTTTACATAACTTTATCTAATGTTTTTTTTATTATACTTAATTCATTTTTAACTGTAGTTTATTTCAATATACTTTAATTTAGTATATTTTTTTTATTTTACTTCGTTTTTATTTAACTTAAACTTATTCTCTTTTACTATATTTTAATTTAAATTTACTTCGTTTTTTTTTTTTTGAATGTTCATAGCTTAATGTTTATTTCATTTTATTTTACTTTATAATTAAACATAATTTATTTAATTTAATTTAAACTATCTAATGTGAACTTCATTTAATTTTTTATGCTTAAATTAACTTATTATTTCCAAATTTATTTTTATTATTATTTTATTTTAATTTAGTGTCATTTATTTCAAATTTAATTTTTTGTGTTTTGATACAACTTAATTTAATTTTTTTATTTTCATAAAATATTTATATCATTTTATTTTTTTCGTTTGAATTAAATTAAGTTTTAATTTAATTTTTACTACTCATTTATTTTAATTAAATGAATTTAGTTCAATTTATTTTATTTAATATGATTTTATTGAATTTTTCTCATTTTATATAATTTCATCGTATTTTTCTTTAGTTAGTTAAATTTATTCTGTTTTAAATATTTTATTTAACCTTATTTTATTTTTATTCATTTTCTCATATTTGTTTTATTTTACTTTATTTTATATTATTTAATTTTATACTTTTTAAATTAATTTAATTTTATTTTTTTTTGTTTAATTATTTTTTACTTTATCTTTTTTTTATTTTATGCAATTTCATTTTATTTTACTTTAATTAATTTAGTTTTTTTATTTTATATTATTTTATTTTTTATACTTTATTTTATACTTTTTATTTTATTTCATATCAATTAATTTAACTTAATTCTTCTTTAGTTTAATTCATTTTATTTTATTATTCTTAATGATATTGAATTTACTTTTAATTTATTTTAATCTATATTATTTTATTTGATATATCTTTCTTTTTATTCATTTTTAATTAGTTTTATTTTATTTTATTTTATTTTAATATATATTATTTTATTTTATTTCATATCAATTAATTTATCTTATTTTAACTCACTTAATTTGGTTTGACTTTATTTTAATTTTTTTTTTTTTTGAACTTATTTTATTTTGTTTATATTTATTTTACTTTAATTTTTTTACTTTATTTAGTTTTAATGCACTTAGATTTATTGTTTCTTTTTTCATTTTATTTAATTTCATTTTAATGCAGTTTTATTGATACTATTTTATTTAATTTTTTTTCGATTTCAACTAGCTTTTTTTTGTTTATACTTTTTAATTTTACTTAAATTTTGTTCCACATAATAACCAAACAAACGTCGAAAGTCAATTTGCGCATCGGTCAGCAGTAAATCAATACCTGTCAATTATCAGGATACGTATACGCCCCAGTGGTGGAAAATGAAAATGATAAGAATATGTATAAATTTGGCAGTTTACTAATTTGATAAGCTTTTATTATGTGTAGTTAAGTAAGCATAACAATTTTATTGGTGTCGTATAGTTATAGTACACCCACAATGACCACATGGTACAACTGATTAGAACAACAACAATACGTGTGATACAGTTGTTACTTTTATTTTTGGTATCACAACCCCAACTACATACTTCGAAAATACGAGCGATGATCGTTCGAAGAACCTCACACAGTTAAGCGCTATACCAACGCTACCGTTATTTTTATTTACAACCACACAAATAATTTTATCAACAATCGTCTTACTTGTCGCCCACCACTCGACTTTTTCAAAAGTGCCTCGCGATTGCTTTTAGTATTATTTTATATTTTTACTTTCTTACTACCTTTAGGATGCGGTTAGCATCAATTACATTCAATAATTTTCCATATTTAGTTACGCTTTTACCTTAAGAACTTTAGTTTCTCATTGACTTTCGTGCGGCGCGTAGCAAATTGGCCGGATACAATGAATTTCATTCCTTTTCATTTTTAGGAAAGTGTCCTTAGTTTAAGAAAGTTGTGTTTCCATAAAAAAAATATACATACATATATAATATATATATAAATTGAACATATATATAAAACGGCAAAATGCCAGAAAAAGTGGTTACAATAAATCACACGTCGTCAGACAATAGTGGCAATAAGGATAAAGTGAAGGTGAGTGAGTGTAATTCTTATTAGAAATTTATATAAAAAATAAAGCATTACAAAAATAAAATAGATTAAACTAAATTAAAAAAAAAATAGTTAAAATAAATTAATAATTTAAAAGAAAATAATAAAATAATGTAAATAAAAAGAAAGAAAATTAAATTAAATATAACTGAAAATTAATCTAAATTAAATATAAATAAAATTAATTAACCTAATTGAAAAAAAAATAATTAAAAACAAAATAATAAAAAAATATATGAAAAAAATTAAATTAAATTAAATATAATAGAAAAATAAATTAATTTGAAAAAATCTAAAGTAAAACTAAATATAATTAATTAAAATAGAAGTAAAGAAAAAAATTAAATTAAAAAAAAATAAATAAATATAAAATATCTTGAATTAATATAAAATAAAAAAGTTTAATAAAATCAGATAATATAAATAAAATAGAATTAAAGTAAAATAAAATAAAAAAATTGAGAAAAAATAAGTGGGTAAGATAAAAAAAATGAAAATGAAATATAATAATATAAAATAAAAGTAAATAAAAAATAAAACAAAATGAAATAAAAAATTAAATGAAACTTAAATAAAATAAAATCAATTGGAAAAATTAAAATAAAATAATTTTTAGTTTCAATGCTTTCACATTTCCAGCTCTTTGACATACATTTTTGGAATATTTTCTATGTACTTGTATATATTTTTCTCCTCTCTCTAATAATTTAGTAATTAGTTAATCCTTTGCCGTGTGTGTACTGCTGTAGTAACAAAAGACATTAGCTATTAAGAGTTCTGTCGACTTTTGCAAAAAATGCTGTGAATCTGTAAACTTCAAGCCGATTTGAAAAAGATTGAGCCAAGAACGGTATTTTTATTCTTAAATCTTAGGATACTCTACATTTTCAAAACCTTGTGTAATGAGTGAAGTGAACTGTACGCAGTGCGAGTCCTTAAAGGTTCATACTACATACATACTTCTTCTTGTATACATTCTATATAAATTTCTTCTTCTTGTATAAGTAATAATTAAGTATTAAAGATTTATGAGTATCTCCAAAATTTGAAATATTTATCGTGCAACTTCAATCAAGGTTGCTGGAAAAATTAAAAGCATTACTTTACAGTCGAATATTTCATGTGCCATTCGAGTGATTTTTTTTAACAAAAAACAAAAATAAAATAATAATAATTTCTAGACTGAAAAATGAGCAGACGACCAGATAAATAATCATATTGTACTATTATTATCAGTTTCAATTATTAAAAGTAATACAGTACTTTATACTTAGTTATTACCATTATCACCGATTTTTCGAGTAAAAAATTTAATAAAAAGCAAATCTATCACACTCAACAATTTATTCATTTACGATATCAGACATTTTACGTTCACTTAACCCAAAAAATTCTCAAGTACCAATATTTTGCTGATTCGGTTTTGTGATAACCAATTTCGTCAATCACAAGAATGTAATTGTGATAACCAGCAAATACATTTATAAACTACTGTACAATAATGATGATGAAGATAAAAGTCTCATAAAAAGGAAAAAAATTATAAAAAAATAAAATTAAATTTAGCAAGGGTAGAGAAACCCAAAAGTCGTATGAAGGAGGAAAGGAATAAAAAGCTTTAAAATATATTTATTTCTACTTAAATAAGGAATAAATCTCTGAAACGATATTGGCATGTTGAACCTGTCACACTGGATACATCAAGGCCCGTTAAGCCTGTCTCATTGCGTAGTCATTTTTAATTTCATTCGAGGTCTTTAAACAAAGCCAATGAAACTAATACGCATAAACTCTGCACGACGTATTTGCCTAAAATGAAGATAATACAATAATTACTAATTGGTTATATGTAGAAGAGCATAATTTATTAGTAAAAAAAATTTATTGAACTGTTTTCGAATTATTTCGGTACAGTCAGCACGATTCACCTGTCTGCAGCGTGAAATAGCTTATCTGCCTAACAGTAAACATTGGCTATTATTTGATTGCCAATGATTTGTATTTTCCCATTTATCGTTTTATTGTAGTTCTTGTGTGGTTGGGAATATTTATTGAGTTACCAAAAACACATAAGATTTTTACTACTTTTATTCTTTGCCTAATTTTATTTACAATATTTGGTAGCTTTTGGGGTTTTATTGGTTAATATAAATTACGTTGATAAGGAGACGAGGAACAAATTGTATATTTTTATATATACATATGAAGGGTTAGAGATTTCGACAAACAGTGATAAATCTAGTCAGTTAATGGAGAGTAGTTTAAAGTGATAAGACATTTAATAAATTTTGGTAGCGATGTGAAATTGAGTTGACAAGTGGTACTTTTATTTGAAGAATTTCGAAATCAATATTTTGACAGTGATAATCTTTATTTCCAAACCTTATCTCCTCGAGTTACAGAATCATGTTTGAAGTGTTAAAAAATTATAATATAATTAAAATAAAATAAAGTTAAATTAAATATATAAAAATAAAATAAAACAAAATAAAATAAAATAAAATAAAATAAATAAAATTAAATTAAATAAAACAAAATAAAATAAAATAAATTAAAACAAAATAAAATAAAATAAAATAAATTAAATTAAAATAAATAAAATACAAAAAAATAAAATAAAATAAAATAAAATAAAATAGAAATAGAAATAAAATAAAATAGAAATGAAATAAAATAAAATAAAATAAAAAAATGCTATAAATAATAATGAAATTAAATAAAATGAAATGAAAATAAAAATGAAATAAAATAATATGAAGTAACACAAAACAAAAAAAATAAATAAAATAAAATGAAATGAAATTAAAATAAAATGAAATAAAATAAAATAGTCAATAAACATAGTCAATAAAAAAGAAGAGATAAAATAAAATGAAACGAAATGAAGTAACATAAATTGAAATAAAATTAAATAAAGTGAAAAAAATATTGTAGTATGTAAAATGGTTTTTATCGCACATTCGAAACTCAAAATTATTAAAATCATTAATTATTTTAAGTGCTTTTGTTGTCGAAAGTGACTCTTCTACTAAACACTTGAGATGCTTTAAAATTACTAAATGCCTTTGTTGGTAAATAAGCCATGGCTGATATCAATAATTTACGTATGTATATGCGTATGAAAGTTACTTGAATATATTTCCGCATAAAAACGATTAAGTAAGATTAAAAAGACGAGCAATTAGATACCATTTATCTTTCTAGGACGAGCCCATCGTTAACTAAATCAGGAGATTCAAGCATGCGGTTTGCTTTACAAAGTGAGGTTATAGGGAAAGATAACTAACCTAACTTTATATTTGCCTACAAAATAATGAACTATTTTTTTTTGTTTGACAAATTTTAAATAAATATTTCCTATAACAGATGCATTTATTCAGTTCAGTTTTCTTTTCTCCAATCCATCTGTTTCCATATTCATACATATTTATTTGCTTTTAAATTGTTTGATGGTCAAGTGAGTAGCAATAAATAGACAAACGGCATGTGCAAATATGTATGTATGTTTATTCATAATTTTGCTGAAAATGTCTAAACAAAACTTACTATGTATGTAAGTATGAAAGTGTCTTGTGATCAATTGCATTCACTAAGTGCATATGTATAGATATATTATTTATTTACAATTCGCCTGGCCGTGTATAGCTTCCCATGACTATTTCTTTTATGCGCTTTCGCCATTTGCATATGAGACAAGCCCCCAAACTACAATGCATATTCCCTCCCATTGAATAAACGAGTGTAAACTTATGCACATTTACATACATACATATTTACTATATACATATGTACGTATGTAAGTGTATTTTTCTTATTTATCTGAAAGGTGTTGCGGCGACTGTCAGTCACCACGTGCGCTTGACCGTAATTTGCATGTGACGACTCGCGACGGCGCCGATGGTATGCGCATTTGGACATACTATACATATATACATACGAGAATAGATATTCATGAATAAATAAATAATTTTTGAAAAAACACAAAATTCGTGATATTGTTTGAACACACCTCGTACATGCAGACACACATATGTATGCAATAAAAACTTATTTACTAATTTTTATATAAAAATAATTTTCGGAATTTTTTGATATGGTTTTGATATGTTTTCAGTTTTTACTGGCAAAATTAATGTATTTTTATTTCATTAAAAAAAGCAAACATTATAATCTGGTAACATAAATGCAATGATGAATTAAACACAGGAAGATCTCTGAGAAGTGGGAGGAATGTTCAAATTTGTAATAGCAAATATTACGTATTATTGCTTATTTGGCATGATTTTCAAAAATAGAAAACTATTAAATTTGCCAGTTTATTTTTATTCATAAATTTCTGCGTCAGCCTAAATATAGGCTATGTTTTGTGCCCTTTTTAATGCGTTAAAAACATTTTTTTAGTAAAAAAGTTGCCTACAATTAGGAAGATATCGAATATCATCACCCACCAGTTTATTTTAGTTTTTTTTTTTGATAGAATAAAATTTTGTACATTACATTATTATTAAGGTAGGATTGGAATAAAAAAGTCTGAATTATAATTGGAATTGACATAAAAAAAATTGTGATAATAAAATAGAAAACTCTAGAAATAATGCAAAAACCCAATAGTTAAAGTTTAAAGTGTTTAAAAATTGGTGCATACATTATTTTGAAAATCCAATAAAAGAGTGATAACTGAATTTCTTGTTTTGCGCCAAAAAAAAAAAAAAAAACATTCAAAAATTTTCCAGCATTTGTTTTTTGTTGTGTCCTCTTTTTTTATAATAATTTATTTGTTAGTGTGCATTAAAAACTTTTTAACCACGAAAAAGATAAATAAATATATAATATAAATAAACATTTAGTTTAATTATTATTTTTTTTTTAAATTATATGATTACCCTTGAAACTCAACATTGAACTCTGTGTTTGCTTATCTACAATGAAAGACCTTTACTATAAATTCAAAATTGCAATACATATTTTTTAGTATTTTTTCA